ATGCGGGCGGCGGGACTGGCCCCGACGCCCACGTTCTCCGTGGCTTTGCTCTGCGTCTCCCGGGTCTGCTAGGGGGCCCCGCCCAGCAGACCAGGGAGACGCGGAGCGGCTTTTCTCGCCATGGCTTTGATCCGCGTCTCCCTGGTCTGCTCGGGGGTTCCCTCAGCAGCCCGGGGAGATGCGGAGCGGCTTTTCTCGCCGCGGAGAACGCGGGCGGCGGGACCGCGGCACGTCTGGGCGGTCCTGCCGCCTGTGTCCTCCGCAGCGAGAAAAGCCCCGTTTGTATGTAGGGATCCAACGTAAGTCAGATCCACGTAAGTCGGGGACTGCCTGTATACAATAAGCAGAGATGGTATTCATTTTTACCTGAAATTTATTTAGAAAGTTTGAGGCCTCCCGCTTTCCTCTTTTTTGGCTGATTGCTCTTTGCAGTACACATTTCTAAACTCTAGGATCCTGACTGACGTAAGTAAGAACTCTCAAGTTTCACAAAAGGGTGGGTATACACTACACAATTTATATGAAAACTTCATTTATAAAAGGTCAATAATTGTAAAGTGCGATTCTGGTGGCTGGAGGGGTTAGATTGGGATTGATCAATCAGGGCAAACAGCAGAGCAGATAATTCCTAAAATTGGTGCTTATTCTAATAATTAGATTCAACAAGCCAGCATCTTACCCAGAATCCAAAAACAATATTCAGTTAAAACAATCCAGCCATAGGCTGCCACCCAGACACCCAAGTCAGATATGGTGAGGATTACTGAAAATGTCAGCATAAATTTTTACCAGTACCAAAAGATCAGACACATTTCTCATTAGTCCAATTACTATTTCAAATCTTACCCAAGTACATGCTTTGAAAAAAGAGTGATTATGGTTAAAAGATCATTATGCATACAGATGTGAGTAAATTTCTTATGTAAACTTCATTATAAAGATGGTGAGCTGTTGAGTGGCCGAATATTCTTTCAAAATCAGTTCCATAGGTTATAATTCAATTAGCTATCCATGTAGAGTCTCTCTAAATTTTCATGAGAAATAGCAGGGTAATACAAACTGGTGTTAGAGAACTCAGTCTAGTGACTCAAGCTTAAGCAAGTCTGAGATGAAAACATCAGGCCCTAGAGTTCTTTCCAAAACAGCTTCTACAATACTTTGTTTACTCAGAAGCCAAAAACATAGTTCCCTTAAAGGAAGTCAGTCTTTGCTTCCACCTAGACAACCAAGTCAGTATGATGACTATTAAAATATTGTTCATCATATGAAAAGTTCTACCAATCCCAAAGGATTGAACATATTAGCTGTCAGATCAATGAATACCAGTTCTTGCCCAAATAAATGCTTACAGCCAATTCTTACTAACTGAACTAAGATTTATTAAAAAAGAAAAAGTATTGCTTAAGAGATTATTATACAGACATGGATAGAGTTCTGAGGTCAGTTTCAGAGTAAAGCTGGTGAGCTGCTGAGTTGCAAAGAGTACTTTCAGAATTAGTCCAAAGATTCAGTCTGATGTTCAATATCTGGGTGACCCAGAATAAAGCTGGAGACCTCAGTCTCATAGCTCTGGCTTCCCCCGATGAAGCATAAGCAGATTTGTGATGATGGGATCATGTCCCAAAAACCCTGAATACATTTTTCCAAACAGCTTCATAACTATGTGCAGTCCTTGGGTGAACAGTAGTGTCTTTGACGTAACCTCCTGTTTCTTAAACATCACTGATAATTAGCAACATTGATTAAAGTAAGGCAATTGCCTATTTCCCACTGTTTGTACATGGTTTGCTTCAAAGAGAAATCAAGGCAGAGATATCACTATATTTAAACGAGTTAGTCTGTATAGCATAAACTTAAAAAACAACAAATGGTCTGGTAGCACTTTATAGACTAACAGAACATGTAAATGGTGGTATTAGTTTTCGTGAGCACAGCCCACTTCTTCAAATGTGGGTAAACTCTGGTCATCTGAGGAAGTGGACTGTGCCCACGAAAGCTCATGATACCATCTACACTATATTTAGAGTTCATTAAAATGTTAGTATCTCCTTTTGATTGCTGAATTAACAGTATACAGTGATAGAGGTTAACGATGTAATCAAATAGTTCCTAACTATATATGTAAACACAAACATCTATTAATATATTTCTAAAGATTGACTCTGGACCTTTTAGCCTGCTAATTTTGTAGCCCTTTCTGGCTCTGTGTCACAATAGGCTATTAGTTGCTTTAATGAGCATGAGGCCATCCAAAGATACATCCATAGTTTACTAAAAACTTCAAAGAGAAGTATGGACAAAGCTATTTCATCCAAGTTTCAGCTAAATGTTAATATTCCCGTTTGAATTGTGAATCATATAGAACATAGTAACTGATGGGACATAAGGATGCTATATTATATTGATTACATGATTAGTTGATGAGGGCTGCTCTGCAGAGCCGCAGTGGGGGTTGCACCGGGAGCTGGCTCAAGTTGGGACTGAGCAGTGGGACCCACCCACGCTGCAGCTGTGCATTTGAAATGTAGTAAAAGCTGCTGAGCTCTTACTACACTTAAAATGCAGAGTCGCAGCATCCTGGACCAGCGCAAGTCGGGACTGTTCAGTCCCAGCTCGCACTTGGTCCAGCAGCCTATTCGCAGCAGCCAGCCCTGTCTGCCGGCAGCAGGGACTGCTTGGTGGCAGCAGTCCCTGTCCCCAGGGTGCCAGCTCCCCGCTAATAGAGGCAGCAGGGATGGGGGCAGGCAACACCACAAAGACAGTGCTTGGGGGGAACTGTCTTTTAAGCCGGCTCTCACCAGCTCCTGTCCCCCTCCACCCTTGCTGCCTTTCATAGAGGCAGCGGGAGGGGGGAGAGAGCAAGTAGTCTATACTCCACTGTTTATGGGGTAGTGGACTACTTGATAACATCCCTAATAGGATGAAAAGCTTATCATCTGCAAACTAACCTGGCTATGCTGCCAACATCTAACAAAGATATAGGTAAACATACACGTATAGTTGCAGTCTTCTGACTCTTAAATGATAAAAGTTTACATTTCAGAGTTCTAGTGTCTCTAACAATGCTTTATTAGCTCGCAATAAGGAATGGCCCTAATTACCACTTTCATGTTTTTCTGATGTCTTTAAAAGTTGAATTTGAATTTCACATCCTGCTAGTTGCTTAACACTTTCTTGCTCAGTATCACATACTGGCTCCACTGATGTCCATGGTGAAACTCCCATGGACCTCAGTTAGGCCAAGATTTCATCCTAAATCTTTTCAATATGAGATCATAAATTTGTCCAGTCAGCTGTTGTCTCAGTACTATAAAGCCCACTACACAAGTTAGCTCACTTGGGACATACGTAGTGGGCAAAAGTACTATAGGTTGAAACTCTCTTCACCAGGATGGTCTGGCAACATCCGTGGTCCAGCATGGACCATTGAATCCCAGTGGAGGGCCAGTGGCAAGAGTCCCTCAGCAAGCTGATAGTGGTGCCATCCAGCACGTGACAGCATGTCTGCCCAGTGGGGTTGGGAGAGACACGTGGTTGCCTGGCGGGTCCCGGAGCCACGGCAACGATGGCTGCCCAGTGGGTTCATCATAGCAGCAGGACCAGCAAAAGGTGGGGCATTGGCTAGGAGGCCTGCGGGTTGGGCCGTAGGGGGAGGCTGGGAGCAGGGGGTCCAGAAATTACCTTCCCTGGTCCAGCAAAATCTCTCATCCAGGACCAGTCAGGCCTGAGGGTGCCAGACGAGGGAGGTCCAACCTATAGTAAATTCACAATTGTGATAATTCTGAGTTGACAAGCAGATGTTGGAAATTGAATAAATCTTATTAGATCATCTAATTAATTATTTAAAGTAAAGATTAAAGCTAGTCTGTTCCTACATTTTAGGGATCATATTCTAGGGTTGAATAATAGTGTCCGATGGTTTTGGTGTTAGAATAGGCAAAAATCTCAGGACAACAAGACAAGCTGAGATCCTCATCCCATGTCCAGTCCTTTTAGGCTGGAGCAGAGTTGGGCAAGATACAGCCTGTGGACCAGATACAGCCTGCCAAGCTTTATAATCTGGCCTGCATTCTGCTCTTGTGGCAGGGAGCAGCACCACTTAAAGCGGTTGGCTGCTCCCTGTGGCTCTCTACACTGCAGGAAGTGGGGAGGCTTCACACACTGGCCCCATCACCAGTAAAATCTCTCAGCTCCCATTGGCTGGAAACTGGAAAGATTTTGCTAGGGGCAGAGGTAACACTTGAAGCCTCTCCCCCTTCCTCTTCCAATGCAAAGAGCCACATGAAACAGAGTAATCTAGGGCTGCTGGCAGGCAGGGAAGCCTGCCTGAGAATGCTGCTGGCTACTTAGGTAAGTGCCTCCCTGCCAGAGCCTGCTTCTGGCACCCCATTCCCTCCCAGGCCCTGCACTCCTCTTCCAGGCTAGACTCTTCTCAACCCTTAGCCAGCCTGGATCCCACACACTAATGCCTGCCCCATGTCACTCCCCCCTCCTTCACCTAACTCCCTCTCAGACCCCTGAGCCTCTCCTGCACCCCAACCCGTTAACCCAAGTGCCCTTCTATACCCAACCTCTATCCCGGATCCCACACCAACTCCATAGAAAAGTGCAGCCCTTGACCACTTTCCGATATCTTGGAGTGGTGTCCCTTCCATCAAAAATTAGTGTTCACCCTTAGACTGGAGGAACAGCCTGGAAAATGCCTTAAAGCCCTGGTTCCAGGTGGGGAAGAATTCCACAAGCATATTAGAAGAGAGTAAGGTTGTCTGAGGGCCACTTTCCAGACCCTGACATGGAGGAGTCATCAGGAATGGTGCTGAAGAGATTCTGGGCAACCTGAGGGAGGCTGTTGTATTTGCGGTAGACCCCCACAACTGTCTGAATTATAGAAGAATTGCTCTAGCATCAGAATTGAGGAAGGAACGCTCACACACAAGTTCTGTGCCTTCTTTGAGAGGTGCAGGCCGTAATCTCAATTTCTGAGTGCAAGAGAATTATAATACAAAAATAAAACTGCTATTGCAAGTATTTCTGTTCTGAAACGGTCTCTTTGAAATCATTAAAATAAATTTTGAAAGACTGCAAATTTAGTCCCAGTATAAAAGGATATTATGGTATTTTATTTTCTAAAATACAACTAAAGTCCCAATTAGGCAAATTTTTATCAGCACCTTATGGTATTGTAAAATATTGTGTAGTAACTATAAATATGTTCCATTTCAGACTCTTTACATTTAGTGGAGAAAGAGATGCTTCCACAGAGTACCATAGACTTTAAAGATATTATCCCGGTGTCGGCACATACAGGAGAAGGAATAGAGGAGCTAAAAACCTGCATAAGAAAATCATTAGATGAAGAAGCAGAGAAGGAGAAAGAAGAATATCAGAAAGAGAAACTTCGTATTTTACAGACTTCAGAAGTATAACATAATTAAAGGAGATAATCAGTTTTTGGATATTTACTCACTGTTTGTGGACATCTGAGTGGATGCTAAATGTGTGGTTTTCTCAAGAACACAGTCCTCATGAGATTGAACTTGACTTCATAGTTCTGACTCTATTCTACTATCAATTGAACCTTCTTATTTCGAAAGCAAATCTGGAATCCTGTCTTTCACACATTACAAGAAATGGGACACAATAAGGAAATTGTTGTTTAGCTGTGTGAAATGAATAGTATTCTTCAGTTATTTAGTACGTTTTCTAAAACAAATATGTAATTTCTTCATATGGGGGGGTAGGTATTGTTTATTACTTACCTACACGCACTAAAGCTATAAAGGAAAGTGCTTGAAATTGGGATTTTGCTTGGGAATATACTGTTTTACATGCTCAGTCTATTATCATAAGGAACACGGTAAATTGTGAAATGCTTTTTTCTTAACTTTTAGCTTTAAAAGACTAGTGTAGGACAAAGGTTCCCAGCCTGTTATCTGTGGACCCCTGGTGGAACTCCCTGCACCTGGAATGTTTAAAAATAAGGATTGTGGGCCCAATCTTCACTTCTTCTTTTTTTCTCTCCCCTCAGGGAGGTTTAATAGATCGAAAAGGGGTCCATATGCTCAAATAGGTTGGGAACCACTGGTGTAGGATAACAGCTATGCTTATGTGGCCATCAACAAACTGGCCAATTTGTGGTTTCCTGTTTTTAATCACTTAGACCATCTGCTTTGTTTAACCAATTTCAGCTGCCAAAAGTACTCTGTGATAGATGGATTTTATCTTTTTTGAAGGTTTTTCAACAAACATGAAATGAAGCTATAAGTATTTGGGTCTTTTATTTTTGCTCTAGGCTTCCCTTTTTTTCTCCTACTGCACAGATTCTCTGTGGCCTCTGGGTGTAGGAGAGTTAAGGAACTTTTTATACTTTGATTCTATGCTTTGACTACCACTCTAGTTGAGTGGGGAGCAGCTGTGGTGATGTTCTAAACTCAGCCACCTGGTAAAAATTGAAGGGCCTGACTGTTGTGTTTCTGTAGGAGCTGGGTAGCCTGTCAGTATATCAGTTGGAGATTCTGCACTAGGGAAAACTTTTGAGTATGTAGCTGTGAAAAGATACGGTCTCGCATGATATTCTTATTTTTTTTGAGTATGTAGTTGTGAAAACTTTCTAATGTTTGGGGGCTACGGTTTTGTGGAGAAGAGAATCTGTCCTGCACTTTGCAGTTATTCAGGAAGCAGTCAGGATTTACTGCTGAAGTGTCCTCACAGGTCTCTGGCTCCGTTGATGATGAAAACCAAAAGGCTGCTTGTGCTCAGTGACGTGTGCTGTGTCGACCTGTGCACTTAGTCTCCACAGCAGACCCCAAGAGAGCCCCCAAAGACCACAAACCAGATAAGGATCGAAGGTGCCCGGCCAGGTTTATTGTTAAGCAAAGTACAGTAATAGTTGTCAGTAGACTCTACTGAACCACTGCACATATGTACCCTGTAACAATGGACTGACTCAATCAGTGGGAAATTTCCCCTGCCCCCTTGGTCATACAAAGACTGTCCCCCCCAAAAACATCACTTTATATACTGGTACAAACAAATCACCCATCACTACTGATGTATCAGATTGCCATCCTCTGCCTTTGTCAGGTTACCACTCTCTGACACTACTTAGATACCACCCATGACCCTGTACCTCGTAGTCATGATTATCTCTGTCCATCATGCTATCGTTTTAGATCCTTTCCTGAACGTGGGTCTGTATCTGTGAGGAGTGGGTACCAAGGTCTTTTTTAATGTGTTAGTGATACCATGTGCTTTATGACCAGTACCAGTTATTGTTCTGCAGTCTGTACCTAGTACCAATTAGTGTTTTGTGCACTCAGCCCTTTCCTGCCAAGTTCTGTGAGTAGGGGCCTGCCTCTTGCTCACAGCTTAGCTTTACTCTGTTAGCCATGTTTTGTCCATTGTTAGCTGGACAGCAGAACAGGCCTCTGATACACGGACTTTTGTTTTATGGTTTCATCTTACTATATTGCCTGCTCACAGAAGTAGAGGAAAGCTTGGGACCTAGGATGATAATCTACTCCTCTGAAAAGGAAGATAAAGTAAAATGACCAAAATGA